AACCCAGGGAAAGTGCCCAGTTCCTGAGTTCAAGCCTCAGTCCAGGTACACATACACACACGCACACACCAACATTGGCTATGAATCTGGAGAGAATGAGAGAGGTCAGAAAGGAGCCTGAGAAGAAAACTGGCATGAAAATCTCAAAAAAGCCTCCATCTCCTCTTTTATCCTTCCCAATCTAAGTAAGATCTATGGAGTGCCAATCTTGTGCATGGCCATTATTTCTCTTCCTTTTTACCGTCATTATTTATTTATTTTAATAAAATATATTTTTTATTGTAAAGATACTGTACAGAGGGGATACAGTTACTTGAGTAAGGTGTCGGGCATTATTACCCCTCCTTTGTTTTTCCCCTACCATCCCTTCCCTCCCCACCTCCCCAACTCCTCCCTCCCACCCCCAAGTTATAAAGTTGGTTTTCAACATAGTGTCTTGTACATCTCATTGTTACAATGGGTCATCCTGTGTCCTTATTTCAGTTTTTTGTTATTTCCTCTCCCCTCCCCACATGTATATACAAGGTGCAGGGCACCGGAATCAAATACAGTGAAAACAGGGTCACTTCTAAGGCCAACCTCCTATAGGCACACTTGCCCTTGGTCTTGTCTGTCACCACCCCAATCCACTGGCCTAGGGGTGTGTCCACTGAGGCTGAGCCAGTACACAACCGCACAGACATCACCCTGTGCACAGGAGCCCGCAGATTGTGAACAATGTCAGCACACATGCTCACGTGATGTCCCTGCCCACCCCACGAGGCCCTGGAGCTCCTACTCCATCCATCTTCCTGAGGACAAAGGCAGCTTCTATTTCTCTTTCTTAAAAATCTCATCCTTTCATGAATTAACTTCCGGTCTGTGACTTCGCAATGCACGTCTGCATGAAGAAGAACTCAGAGGCCAAGAATAAATACAAAAGTCCTAAAACCCAGCACCCTTATCATTTCTGGTATGTAAGTGATGTCATGGGAGAGATATTCGGTGATGCCATGTGGAGCCCAGCCACTCCGGAAGTCGAAAAGTGGATCTTTGTCTTCCTCCCAGAACCAGTCTTTCAGGCAGACTTTTATTTTTTTGGTGTTGGTACTAGGACTTGAACTTGAACTTGAGCCATACCTCCACTTCTGAGTTTTTACAGGTTAACTGGAGAGAATAATTTCAGAACCCCTCTTCCCCTACTGGCTTCAAGCCACTACCGTCAGATCTCAGCCTCCTGAGGAGCTAGAATGACAGGTGTGACACACCAGCACCCAGCCCAGATAGAATTCTTTTTCACCTTATCTGTCAGATTCAGCCTATTTTCACTAGCGTGATCACATTTGCTAATGTGATCATTTTCCACTCAGCTACGACATCCCCCCAAGGTGAGCATGCTTCTAAAGTACAAATGTCTTCTACCAAAACATACACCTATATCTTAAATACACCAACTCTGTCATTTTATACATCTCGTCATCCTAGCTGCTCAGGAAACTGAGATCTGAGGTTCATGGTTTGAAACCAGCTCAGGCAAGAAAGTCTGTGAAATTCTTATTTTCAAGGAACCACAAAAAAGCCAAAAATGGAGCTGTGGCTCAAGTGGTAGAGCGCTAGCCTTGCACAAAAAAAGCTTGGGGACAGCATTCAAGGTCATGAGTTCAAGCACCAGGATGAGCACAGACATACACAAAATCTGATATTGCAAAACCCAAATCTACAAATCTGTATATCAGATTATTTGCTGTGCAAATTAATCCACCAAGGCATAGTTAAAATGTCAGATCCTCCATTTCTCTTTCCCTTCATCCACCTCCCCTCACAAATGATATGGGTCACTTTTGACTTCTAACTGCTAAGCAATGCATAAGAAGCAGGTCACCTGTGCTCCTAAAGTCTATGGAAAAGCCAAATTCATTTCTTTGGAGACTGATAGCTAACTTCTTTCAATTTTCCCAGTGTGTGAGCTTTGATTTTGCTACCCAGGATCTGGAATTGTAGACAGCACCATCATGTACCTAAAAACCATATGAATTATTAATACCTTACAGAGTTCACCACCACACAACAGCCCTGCCTTCTACAGAAAGCAGCTTCTGAGGGAGACAAGAACCAGCATGGAGGGAAAGGAATGAGTAAAGTTGCTGGGAATGGGCTTCTCTGCTTCCTTTCCCTAGTACTCACATTGATAGCTGCGGGGTGGGGGTGGGGGGAAGGGGTCCACCAGCCTGGAGTGACGGAGCTATTTTTTGGAATGTTAGCACTCTGGCCCATGCTTTCCCTTATTTGCAATATCTAGTCTATGTCTGAGTCAAGCAGAAAAGGTCAGATAAGGTGATGTTAGGGAAATGACCCCTAAGATATGTATTCAAATGTTTTTTTCTTTCATGCGATTGTTTCTAACACATTTATAAGATGATTTCTTTGCTGCTTTGTAGGTCCCTCCCCCACGGTATATCCCCTGCTTTCACTGTATTTGATGTCGGTATAATTTGTGGAGGGGAAGGGGAAAAACAAATCGTTTAAATAGGGATACAGGTGGACCCATTGCAACAATGAGATGTACAAGTCGTTATGTCGAAAACGAACTTTACAACTTTGGTGGGGGGGGGGGGGGTCGGGGAGGATTAGGTAGGGGTCGGGGGGGAGGATGGGAAGGGATGGGAAGGGGAAAAAAAGGAGGAGGCTACAATGCTTGATAAGAAATGTACTCATTATCTTGCCCATGTAATTGTAACCCCTCTGTACAGTATTTTCACAATTAAAAAAAATTCTCTTTAGGGGCTGGGAAGGTGGCTTACTGGTAGAGCGCTTGCCTTGCATGCATGAGGCCCTGGGTTCAATTCCTCAGCACCACATAAGCAAAAAGAAAAAAGCCAGAAGTGGCGCTGTGGCTCAAGTGGTAGAGCACTAGCCTTGAGCTGAAGAGCTGAGGGACAGCGCCCAGACCCAGAGTTCAGGCTCCACGACCGGACACCCCCCCCCAAAAAAAATTCTCTTTAAAAAAAAAAAAGAAAATTTCATCATTGGGGCTGGGAAGGTGGCTCAGTGGTCGAGTGCTTGCCTTGCATCATGAGGCCCTGGGTTCGATTCCTCAGCACCACATATGCAGGGAAAAAAAGCTGGAAGTGGCACTGTGGCTCAAGTGGTAGAGCGCTAGCCTTGAGCTGAAGAGCTGAGGGACAGTGCCCAGGCCCAGAGTTCAGGCCCCACGACAGAAGAAGAAGAGGAAGAGGAAGAGGAAGAAGAAGAAGAAGAAGAAGAAGAAGAAGAAGAAGAAGAAGAAGAAGAAGAAGAGGAAGAGGAAGAGGAAGAGGAAGAGGAAGAGGAAGAGGAAGAGGAGGAGGAGGAGGAGGAAGAGGAAGAGGAAGAGGAATAGGAAGAGGAAGAAGAAGAAGGAGGAGGAGGTTTCATCTTTCTCTGAAACATGCAACGTTCTTCACAAATGCAATCACACTAGCTTGAGTTTTGTGGGCTTTGGATTTCCCTCTGCCCTCCTGGAGCTTCCTTGTGTATGCCAACACACCAATGGGAACAGGAACAACTCAGCCTATCCTAATTAGGGTAAGTTGCAAATTACCTCACTGATGCTAACAGGGACAGGAAGTGAAGGAAGGTTTCCTTTCTCGCAATTGTTAATATTCCCTTAGAAGCTCATGCAAGTTAAAACCTAACAAAAAGGGAAATGACAGCTCCAATGTTAAGTTGTCTCAAATGTCTACCTAAGACCAGTCCAGAATAGGTTGGGCTCAGGGCCACTAGGTAAGGTGCGTGGGGTGGGCCACGAAAAATCAGGGAACCAAGAGTTAGGAGGCTGGGGTGAGATCTAGACAAAAGCACACCTCAATTCTGGGCCTCAGTGGCTTCATCTCAAAACCTATATAATGACACCCACATTTTATTGAGATCATGGATTCAAAAATGTTTGGGGGCCGGGGGCTGGTGTCTCATGCCTATAATCCTAGCTACTCAGGGGGCTGAGATCTGAGGATCGCGGTTCAAAGCCAGCCACAGCAGGAAAGTCCATGAGACTCTTATCTCCAATAAACCACCAGAAAACCAGAAGTGGTGCTGTGGCTCAAGTGGTAGAGTGCTAGCCTTCAGCTGAAGAGCTGAGGGAGAGTGCCCAAGTCCAGAGTTCAAGCCCCATGACTGACAAAAAAAAAAAGAAAAGAAAAGAAAGAAAATGTTTGTGGATCTATTAAGAAGTGACAATGCTCTATGGATGGCTGTGCATCTCAATTCCTATGACACTGTAGAAAACTGCGAAAATAAGAAAACATCAGGCAGTACTTCTGATTCCAGCAAAGCCTTTTTCTCTTCCCCGCCTCACTTCCCTTTCCTTTCTCTTGTCTCCCCCACCCTTCTAACCTACCTTGTAGAAAAAAGCCAAGGTAACGATGTTCAACCACAGTCAACGTCAAAGTTAGATAGCCTCATTGATCACCTATGAAGTGTAGAATCTGTATTTTATTATTATGAAAAAATCCTATTGTGAGGAAACTCATCTTGTAGAGAAGCTTGAAGTTGAACTCTACTTCTGTTCATGCATCTTTTATTGAAGAAATATGTATTTATCATGAACTTGTAGCAGGGCAGTGGGATTTAGAAATGAGCAAGGGAAGTCAGGCGCCAGTGGCTCATGCCTGTAATCTTAGCTACTCAGGAGGCTGAGATCTGAGGATCGAGGTTCAAAGCCAGCCTGGGCAAGAAAATCCATGAGACTCTTATCTCCAATAAACCACTAGAAAACTGGAAGTGGCGCTGTGGCTCAAGTGGTAGAGCACTCACCTTGAGCTGAAGAGCGCGGGGACAGCGCCCAAGCCCAGAGTTCAAGCCCCATGACCAACCAAAAAAAGAAAAAAAAAAAAAAGAAATGAGCAAGGAAGATGACCCTTTTCCCCAAAGAAGTTCCCTGTCCAGTGAGGGAGACAGACTTGCAGTTTTGTTTTGTTTGTTGTTTTGTTTTTTTATATAGCTCAGGAATGAGAAACCCAAGAACTGAAACCACTGGACTCTACCTGCAGTTCCCCTTCCATGATGCTGAGGAGCTGGATGAGATCCTCTCTAGATAACTCCAGAGATTTCTTAGGCTTTCGCTCACTTTCTCCAGATGTCTTGAGATGTCGTTTGACAGTTCCTGAAGCCATGACGTCTTCCTCCTTCCTATTTGATTTGTTCTTCTTTTTCGCTTCTTCAGAGAGTCTTTTATCATCCTCATTGCTGATGATGGAGGACTTCGGGCAGGAGATGTGCCCATTCGATGAACTTTCACCCGCTTGGTTTCTGGATCTCATTCCCACCTAGAACACATGCAAAGAGGGAAAATCAAGAAAATAATTAAAATAATTCTGCCCACATACATAGAAACTTACAGCAACTTTACACTTTCAACAATAAAGACAAACAAAAAGCTCAGTCTACAGTTAGCATTCCTTTACCTGTCATGGATATGTTATTAAAAATCTTTGAGAAAAAGCTGGATACTGGTGGCTCAATTCTAGCTACTACTCAAGAAGCTGAGATCTGAGGAGCTCAGTTCAAAGCCAGCCCAGGCAGAAACATTTATGAGACCTTTTTTCTCCAATCAACCACCAAGTAGTGGGAAGTGGAGCTATGGCTCAAGTGGTAGAACGCTAGCCTTAAGGGAAAATGCTAAGGGAAATTATCCTGGCTCTGAGTTCAAGCTTCAGTACTGGCACAGAAAGAAAGAGAGAGAGACAGAAAGAAGAAGGAAAGAAGGAAAGAAAGAAAGAAAGAAAGAAAGAAAGAAAGAAAGAAAGAAAGAAAGAAAGAAAGAAAGAAAGAAAGGAAGGAAGGAAGGAAGGAAGGAAGGAAGGAAGGAAGGAAGGAAGGAAGGAGGGAAAGAGGGAAGGAGGGAAAGAGGGAAGGAAGGAAGGTAGGAAAGAAGGAAGAAGCAAAGAAAGAAACCTTTTTAAAATGTTAGGTTTTGCAGGAGAATGATGAAATGAATGGCATTGGTCAAGATGCATTGTTCTTATAAACTAACATGTTGAATTGAAATCCCTTTGTAAAATTACTTAAAGATAATCAAACAAAATAGTTCAAAGGAAAAAAAAAACATTAGGTTTAGGATGGAAAAACAGACACAGAATAATATTTCCTTTTGGATAGTAAGTATTCAATCCTTGCAGTGAATCTTGAAATCTAACATTCCTGCTTCATTTTTTAAACTAAACCCTTGTAGCCAAGTGGCCCCTCTGATGTGTGTGTGAACCTTCTTGGAGCACACTACCTTTAAACAATGTCAGTGGAAGCAGGGTTGCGCATGCTGACACCCTGCTTCCGGTTCAGCCATGATTGCTTCTCAACTTCAGAGTCTTTTTGTGTTTCCCCACTGAACAAAAACTAGAGGTTCCTTTCTATGGAACCTCCATAGAAAGCAGATCTCCTGTATTTCAGGAGCAGATCTCCTGTATTTCATCACAGCTTATTTGTAATCTCACTGAAGCCTTAAGACAAATGAACTAAAGAAACAGAAGTGATGGATAGAGTTTCTGATGTAACTTGTGACCCATTAAACATCACAACCAAGACACAAGGGCTTCCCAAATGGGACTGTCTTTCTCCATAACTCCATTCCCACATGAACTCCTTTTTTTTTTTTTTTTTTGGTGGTAGGGCTTGAATTCTGGGCCTGGGCCCTGTCCCTCAGCTCTTCAGCTCAAGGCTAGCACTCTACCACTTGAGCCACAGCGCCACTTCCAGTTTTTTCTGCTTATGTGGTGCTGAGGAATCGAACCCAGAGCCTCATGCATGCAAGGCAAGCACTCTACCACTGAGCCACCTTCCCAGCCCTTGAACTCCTTTTATTTGATATAATTGTCTTGATAAGATCTTAAGAATGTTTGAAATGATGAATAAAATCATGATTTGACAACCTTATCAGTTCATAAAAAACCTCAGGCAATAATTTCCTAAAGCCCAAAAAGTCAAGTGATAATATTATAAACTTAAACACAGCCTTAATCAAGCACAGTATTTGTATCTGACTGACTGGATAATGTATTCTGTGTGTGTGTGTGTGTGTGTGTGTGTGTGTGTATGTGTACGCGCGCGCCTGTAGTGGGGCTTGAACTCAGGGCTTCATGTTGTTGCTTGGCTTTTTCACTAAAGGCTAACATTCTACCACTTCAGCCACAGCTCTACTTCCAGCTTTTTGGTCGTTAATTGGGCATAACAGTTTCATGTACATTCACAGCCACGCTGGCTTTGAACTGAGATCCTCAGATCTCAGCCTCCTGAGGAGATATGACTACAGGTGTGAGCCACCAAAGCCTGGTTTACTTTTTCCTACTTTTGTAGAGGAAATGGTGTGCCCACAACTCTCTTATACTCTATCACATTTGGCAAGATATATACTCTCTTTTATTTGTACAGTTATTACTGACTGTTAAGTGTTATACAGTGTCTGAAGCATATGGCTATCCTGGAAGTAGCTGCTATTATTCTTAGGTTTAATGATGAGACCAGTAAGATTTAAAGAGATTAAATATACTTTTTTTAATAGCAGTTACCTGCTGCAAAATTTCTAAAATAAGGAATCATTCAGAAACTTTGAGTGGGAAAAAAGTCAATATTGTCAGTATTAAGAGTACAAAGTACAGAAACAGGATGCAAAGTCTGAACAGCTAACATTACAAACTTATTGTGTTAAGAAGCTGGCAATGGAACAATAGTGAACATTAATCAAAGCTGGCTAAATCCAGCCTATTGTGCCTGCAGGACTATTAGGCAGGTATCAGGAAATACATCTGAGACTCAGTAGGGTTGTGTGTGTGTGTGTGTGTGTGTGTGTGTGTTTGCTGGTCTTGGGCTTGAACTCAAGGTCTGACTGCTGTCCCTGGGCTTTTTTTTCTTCTTTCTCTCTCAAGGACATTATTCTACCACTGAGCCAAGAGCTCTACTTCTGTCTTGTTTAGTGGTTAAGTAGAAATAGAAGATTCACAGACTTTCCCGCCTGAGCTGGATTTGCATAGAGATCTTCAAATCTCAGCCCCCTGAGTAGATAGGATTACAGGCGTGAGCCACTGGTGCTTTTTTAACAGTCATTTACATATCTATAGTTTGGGTTAAAAAGATAAACTTTTCCTTTAAAGAAAAATGTTAAGTAGTTGTACAAAGGAGTTTGACTTCGTCACGTCCGTTTGTGAGCACACTGCATCTAGATGAATGCCACCCTTCCATCATCCTTTCCCAGCTCTCCCAGCCCTACCCACTCTCAGGTTACCTGGTTCCATTTTCACATGTGTACATTTCACCTGTGTACATTGAATATTATGACTGCATTTGCCTACCGTTCCTCTCTTGATTTATCTGCCCTCCTCCCACTTTCTTCACTCCCCTGACAAGCATGCTTCATTCCTGGTATTCATTTTTGTTAAACAGTGAGTTAGTTGTTCAAAGAATATACAACTGGAGTCCTCCCCTGGATATATCAGACTTTAGTGAATTTGCATATATCTGCATAATGTATGTTATTTAGATCTAACATCCACATATGAGAGAAAACATGTTCCTTTGTCCCACCAAGCCTGACCTGCTTCAGCTAATGTTTTTTTTTTCCAAATCCATCCATTTCCCCTTGTGATAGATCGTAAAGTTCCATTGTATATGTGTATATATAATTATAAGTTCCTTTTCATGTATAACTCCATTAAATATGTGTATATATATGCATATTCTTGATGCATTCCTTCACTGTAGTGCATCTAGTCTATTTCCATGCCAGTGCAGCAATGAACATGGGTATGCAGGTGTCTTTACTATATCGTGACTTGTCATCTTTTGGATAAATGTCAAAGAATAGTCTTGCTGAATCAAAAGGGTAGCTCTATACTTAGCTTTTTAAAGAATATCCAAATGGCCTTCCATAGTGCTTGCAGTAGTTCGTATTCCAATCAATGATGTCATAGGGTTCCTCCTTTCCCCTTCCAATCCTTGCCTGTATTTGTTATTGTTTGTATTCTTGATGATGGCCATTCTAACTGAAGTGAACTAAAATTTCAGTGTTGATTTGCATTTCCTTTATGACCAGACATACCAAGAATTTCTTCATATGGTCATTTTTACTTCTGAGAAGTCTTTTGCCCACTTTTGCCCACTTGCTAATTAATTGGGTTGTTGATTCTTTGGAGGTGTAATTTTTTTTAATTCCTTGTATATTCGGTATTAGGCCTTTGTCAGAAATATAGCTGGCAAAGATATTCTCCAATTATGTAGGCTGTCTACTAGCTTTTAGTGACTATCTGTAGAAACTTTTTATCTTGATGTAATCCCGTTTTTCAACTCTCTCTTCTATTTGTTAAACCCCTAAAATTCTATTCAGGGAGTTTCCTGCCTATGCCAATAAGTTTTAATGTTTCTCTGAGAAGATAAACTGTTTGAAAGAAGCCAACAATGGCTAAGCAAGCGATACTTCTAACTCCCAGCTACTCAGAAAGTGGAGACTGGAAGGACCAGGGGCATGACTCAAGTGGTAGAACACAACCTAGCAAGGTCAAGGTCCCAAGTTCAAATCCCAATACTGTTAACCAAAAAGAAGCCAAAAATGCCTTTGCTCATCCCAATATACATCCTTGAAGAAAATTCTCAGCAAGCAAACAGTCTAATGGAAAAGTCTTATCAAATTTTGTAACTTAAAAAATCAGTGTTATTTGAGGAACAAATTCTTCTCTTAGTTCATGAAATATATCTACTTTTCCTCTCGCAGTAATCAGTCAGCAGTACTCTGCATGGAATTTGCTGGTTAGAATGGAATGAAGAAAAGGAATAAGCAATGTGATTCTTTACCTCTTTCTTTTATCTATGGTTATCTCACCTCTTTCTTCCCTGTCCTCCCACTTCGGGCAGTTACCAGAGCATTCTCTCAGATGAGTACTATCACAGAAATCAGCAAGGGCAAACACTTCAGACTTACTTATGCTGAACTAGCAAGTATTTCTAAAGCATTTGAATGAGTGAAAAAGGAAACAAATGCAAAGGAAAAATCTATAGCAATTCAATACCCACTCGAGTTCCCAAGATTTTTTGGCTCTCCCCTATCTTAACCTTGAACTTTCTCTAGCCTTCAGTTTTCTGCAGTTGCTTCATATCAGATTGGTCCTTTCCTGTTATGATTCAATGTTGGTCAAAATACTCCCCATTCCCACCAACAAAAACTTTTCTGTATAAATTAGATTTGGCATTTTTACTATGCTTATCAGTATCTCAAATCCCCAGTCTCTGTCTCTTCCGTGTTTTATTTTCTCCATCCATAATTTCAAGAGCCTATTTGTTTTGT